TACCCCAAATCAATTAAATCAGATTCTTTGGGAGAGGGGCTCAGGCATCAGCATTGTTCTAAATTTTAATTTTATTTTAGTCAATTGTTTAAATTAAAAAAAAATGTTTTGGTACCAGGGATTGAACCCAGGGGCACTTAATCACTAAGCCACATTAGCAGCTCTTTTTATTTTGATTCAGGGTCTCGGTAAGATGCTTAGGGCTTCACTAAGTTGCTGAGGCTAACTTTAAACTTGCAATCCTCCTGCCTCAGCCTCCCAAGCAGCTGGGATTTGGGTGTGTACCACCCATGCTGGCTCTATTTTTCTTTTTGAGGAGGAATTCCCAGGTAAATTGGAATCAAGTGGTTCAAAGGTCATGCTCTGAGGGTTGCTGGTATGGTGTTTCTTCACACATTAGCGTCACCTGGGAGCTTTGGGGAAAGCTACCTTGCAGGGTATCTACTTGGGTAAGGTAGGGCAGTGACAGTCTTTGCTGCTCTGAACCATCCTCCTCCTTCCTAGATTATTTGAATCAAAATCTCTTGGGGGTGAGACTTGTGCACCTTCGGCCTTACAACCTGCTCAGATGATTTTATTATGCTGCCAGAAATGAGCACTACTAAGCCCTTGTCTGTGGGCTCATTAGCAGTGCAAGATCTCAAAGTCTACCTTGGATCTCCTGCATCTGAATCTGCATTTTAATGAGATCCTTAGGTTATGTATATATGCATTAAAACTTGGGAAGCATCACATCAGTCCATTTTCTCAAGGAAACTAAGGACTGGAAAGAAGAAGTGACATACCTAAGTTAGACAGCAACAGAAGGGCCTGGGGCCTTGCCATTCTGCTTTTTCACACAACTCTGGTTTTCTTACGCATGCGATGGCATCTTCAGTGGGTATAGATAAACTAGATACTGTGTGATTAGAGCGGTGGCAGGGAAGGCTGGAAACCCAGAGGGAGAGTGGGGGGCTTCTTTTCCCTCCTCCCTGCCTTGCACAAAGGGGAGAGCTAGTTGTTCCACCTTTGTCTGCTAAGTGTCACCAAAGGCAGGCAGCCGAAGGCTCTGGTCTCAGTCATTACCTCCAGGCCAGGCACAGGGGGGCCTCAAGGACCACAGGTGCGTGTGAAGCATTACTGTGGAGTTTTGTTCCTCTTTTGGGGGGGTGATGCAGCCCCTGTCCCAAGGCTGCCTTAGAATTGGCCTGGGATTAGGAAGGGAGGGGGGAAGGTCCTGATCCTTCCACTCAGCAACTCAGGCAGGTCTGAAGTATTTCACCAAGTATTTATTAGGCTCCTGCCATGTATTAGGCACTGGGGATAGAGGAATGGAATTGTGGTCTCTATTTTTTAGTAGATGATACAGAAAATAGAAAAGGAAGTAGATAAACACATAGTAGCTCAGGTGGTATGAGTATTAGAAGAAGGGGATGGTTCCCAGGTTCCCAGGGGTAAGGTGTCCTGGGAGAGGGGAGTGTGCAGGAGAGGCTGGAGGGAAGTAAGGGATGAGCCCTGGGGTGTGCAGGGAGAGTGCTGCAGCTGCGCACAGGCACAAAGGGCCCAAGATGTTTTCAATAAGCAGGGGATGGGTGCAGAGGATAGCAGGAGTGGGCTCCATGGTGTGGCAGGGTCAGGCTATGAGACCCTGGCAGGCACTGTTAGGACTTCTTGGATTTTATTTGGAGTGATGTGGGAAGACTGGAAGGTGTGGCATGACTCAGTTTTAATAGGAAATTATGGCAGGGGCAGGGCAGGGAGGGACAGTGGTACGGCCAGAGATGGAGATGGCTAAGGCCAAGGAGCACTAGGTCCTTGTAGTCTCAGGACCATAGGCAGTCCTCATTTATAAAATGAGGATGGAAGTAGTACTTTTTTGATAGAATTATTAGGAAGGGTAACTTAGAGTACATAAAACATGCCCAGCTGAACTTGCCTACAATCCCAGGGGCTTAGGAGGCTGAGGAAAATTCAAAGCCAGCCTCAGCAACTTAGTGAAGACATAAGCAACTTAGTAAGACTTTCTCAAAATAAAAAAAATTTAAAAGGTGGGCTGATAATGTGGCCCAGTGGTTAAGCACCTCTGGGTTCAATCCCCAGTATCAAAAAAAAAAAAAAAAAAAAAAAAAGCTTAGTACACATAAAGTGCTTAATAAAGATTAGCTATCATTATTCCAGATGTGCAGGAGAGGACATCTTCTCAGTTGTCCACTCACCCTGGCTGTGCTGTGCAGGGTGACTTATTAGCTAGGAGGGAATGTCCCCTCCTGGAGAGACTCTCTGGAGGTCTCACCTGATCAGTCTCATGCAGGTGGGCCCCAGAAGACACATGGAGGACCCCTAGAAATTTGGTCCTGAACTCTGACATGACCATCAAAATGGGAAGTGACAAAGTCCCTACAACACTTGGTTGAGCTTCTGCGGAAAGCATCTGCAATATCACAGGAGTCTCTTAATCCTAAGGGAGGCAAACAGCTATTCTTATTCCCATTTTATAGATGAGGAAACTGAAGACTGGCGTAAGAAAGTGGTCAGTCAAGGTTGCAAAACTAGTCGATGACCAGGTCTGGACTGGTTGTGGCCTCCTGCCTCCCAGTCCAGGGTTCCTTCTGTTCCACCTGTAGCCTTTCTGTCTTACTGTGTGACTATATGTCATCTCTCCCCCATTTGTGACCCCACCACTGTCATCTGAGCCCTACCTGTTTCTGTCCACACTCCAGGGAGGCTAACCTTGGCTTGGCTTTGTCCTTTTCTCCCTCCAGATTGAGCGACAGCTCTTTGAGGAGACGGTGAAGACTCTCAATGGCTTCTACGCAGAGGCAGAGAAGATTGGGGGAAGCTCCTACCTCGAGGGCTGCCTGGCTTGTGCCACAGCCTACTTCATCTTCCTCTGCATGGAGACCCACTATGAGAAGGTGGTGCCTCCCCAGCCTCCCTGTGTCTCCCACCCCACCGGCTTCCCTGCTGCACGGTCACCCTCACTGGCCCCTGTTTTTGCAGGTTCTCAAGAAGATCTCCCGCTACATCCAGGAGCAGAATGAGAAGATCTTTGCGCCTCGAGGCCTCCTGCTCACGGACCCCGTGGAGCGCGGGATGAGGGTTGTATCCTTGCTGGCTCTTCTGTGCCAGGGCACCGAGCTGCTAACTGGGGGTTCCCTGGGGAGGCTTCCAGGAAATGGGAGCTACCCTAGCAGTCTCGCTGGAATCTGCACGGCACTGGTCTTTGGCCCCAATCCGCCATAAGTTATTGGGGTGAGTTTCAGGGTCTGCACTTATTGAGCCCATGTAATCAGTGCTTAATAGACACCAGGTGCCACAGTAAGGGCTTTGAAACTATGAATTCATGTAATTCTCTTCACAACACCTTCAGGTAGGCAGTTCTTATTCTCCTTTATCTATCTGGACGATGAAGTTAAATAACTGGCTCAAGGTCGCCCAGCAGGTCAGTATCAGACCCAGGATTTGAGCTCAGGCCCACCCTTAACCATAAGGCTGTTTCAGCTTTCAAGAAATATGTAAATCATCTCATGAATATGCAAACATTCCTCATTTAATTTTCCCATAATGGGTCCCATTGTTCCTTATTCACAGGTGAGAAGAACTGGGTCTTGGTGGGAGACTGGGCAAGGGGTGGGCCAGAGTTCTGCTGGTTCTATTTAGAACAGCAGGGGGGCAGGTGTGCCCACATTCCTCCCTCCTGCCCCCAGCAACAACAAGAGCAGAATAGTTCATTTTACTTTCAAATGGAGAAGAAAAAGAGGAAAGAAAACAAAACGTCCAGAAACCACACATATAGAGCTTCGTGAGCAATGTTTCTTTCCCCTGAGTCTGTCCCATGTGGCAGGTAGAGTGCTTAGTGGGTACCTACATAGTTAATCTTCACAGTAACCCAAAGGTTCTATTATTATTCCCATTCGACAGACCAATAATTGATCATTAAGGAGAGACTGGCCTAGCTTGTGAGTGGGCGAGGCAGGATTTGAATGCAGCGCACGGAAGTCCTCATATTTCTGGGGCAGTTACACCACCTCCGTGGCACAGGGGTGGCCTGCGATAGATACCGCTCTATGAGGGCGGGGGCCCTGCCTGGTGTGATGGGGGCTGTGGACCCTGCTCAGCGCTCAGCGACTCATTTAGCTGAGTGCGTGGACACCCGCAGCTCCAGGCCTGCCCAGCCCCGCTGTCCAGGAAGCGGCGCGAGCTCATGGCCCCTGCGCTTGGCCGGGTTCACACTGGCCCCTGCTCAGCGGCGGGCGGCTCTAGCGCTCCTTAACCCAGGACCGCAGATCGAGATCTCCATCTATGAGGACCGGTGCAGCAGCGGCAGCTCCAGCAGCGGCAGCAGCAGCGGCAGCGGTGGCAGCAGCAGCGCTGGGGGTGGCGGGGCGGGGGCCCGGTGACTGGCCGAGAGTCCCTGCAGGGAGGTGTATGGCCGGAGTGAGGGCCTCGCAGACCTGCGGCGGCTGCGCTACCAGAGCACCCGCTTCTAAGTCTTCTCTGGGTCTACCAAGCTGACCAGGTTGGAAGTGAGAGCGACTGTCCCTGTGTTTCCTGTGAGCACTCAGCTCAAGCTCCCAGCCCCTTCCCCGCTGGCAGGATTGGTCCACTTCCTGACCTGGGGAAAGCTGGGGTGGGGAGAACACTGTATGGACAATCCCTCTCTTCCTTGGCTTCTTTCCCAACACCGGGGAGGGAGGCTTAGAGAATTCCCACCCTGCATGATCCTTCACCCCAAAGCCAACATCCACCAGGACTCTCTTCCTCTGCCCCTGCTCCCAGTGCTGTCTTTCAGTGTCAGCTTTTTATTTGAGGCCACTTCAGGGTCCCTGCCTGTCTATGATGCCACTTCTGCCAAATTGGAGATCTGGGGAGATGGGCATCTTGGTGGGGATCTATTCAGCTGCTCCTGACCTCGTCCAGATCTGTGGTTTCCCTGTCTTCCACCCAGAGTTGGAAGCCCATCTGAGCCTTGCCAAAAAGTATCCAGCTTTGAGACTTTCAGGACACCTGTCACTGGTTGAGGGGAATACACTCTGGGCTCTGGAAGGTTCTATGGGGGTCTGGACAAACTTTGTGGAAAGATGTGGCCAGGGAAGTTAGAATTTCCTGAACCAGAGCCAATTTCCAGATTTTAGGACCTGTGTGTGCGCGCGCACGTGTGTGTAAGCATGCACATTTGTGAATATGCACATGCATAAGCATGCACGTGTGCACCAGTGTATAAATGTAAATGCACCATGTGAGTGGGTGCATACACAGGAGTGTATGTGAGTGTGTGTGTGTGCACATGTGTATAAATGTATTTGAGTGCATATGTGTACCTGAGTACACATGTATAAAGTGTGAATGTGAGTGCATGTGAACACATGTGTAGGCATGGTGTGTGTGTGTGAGTGTACCTGTGTGCATGAGTATGCATAGATGAGTGTGACTAAGTGTGAGCATGTGAGTACTTGTATGAGTGCATGTGTCTGTGTGTGAGAGTGCACTTGTGTTCCCCTCGGCTGCCAGGCTGACTGCCCAGCTCTGCATCCTGCCGTGTTGTGTTACACAATGGTAGATGGTGTGGCTTCTTTCCCATGTCAGTCCTCACCCCTTGTTGGGGGCTGTCAGCCTGGATCTTTCTCCTGGCCTCTCCCCCACCTTCAGACTCTACTGTGCACATTCTAGCAGAAGAGAAGTTAGGGTCCTGGAGAGCAGAGCCAACCTTCCAGTGGCCTTCAGTGTACCTCTCCCAGCCCCCGTGATGAGACAGTGGGGCCACAGATGCTGCATATTCAGCCCACCCAGGTGCCAGGGCTCTTTAAAACCGTGCAGGTCAAACGTTCTTGGACATTCAAAGGAGGTGGCAACTAGCAGGGGCAAAGGTAAATTCTCATTGCAAAGACAGCAGGAATGTCCAGCTATTGGTGCTCTGGCTCCTGAAGTCCAGGGGAGCCAGTAGGAAGGGGGCAGCCTGGCGTCTGGGACCCAGAAGATGGACAGAAAGGGGCTGCCTACCTCACCTGGCAGGAGGTGCTAGAAGTGGACATGAAACACCAGCCACTGCAGGTAGCTTTCTGGAACCAAAGAGGGGCCTGGTTTTCATCTGGAGGTGGGAGCAGCAGAGGGAGCAAACACCTACCCAGAGAGCTGGAGAGAGTGGCCCAGCCCTTGAGGGCTCAGGGAGTCTGGGTCACAGGGAGTCCTGGTGCAAGGAGCTCCCTGGAGAGCTGTAGTGCAGTGGGCTCTGTTGCAGCCCCTGACTCCTGGCCATGGCCGGTGCAGCCCTGGCCCACTGTTGGCTGATCATTGAGTCTGATCATGCACCTCTGGTGGGAGGGTGGGTGGGGCACAGGCCAAACAGTAGCCTTTTGTTTTATTATTTCTTTTTCCAATAAAGGGACTTGCCCAGTTTGAGTCTCATGCTGTCTTATCTGCCCCATGATGATGGGGGCCAGTTCCATATTCTAGGATCATGTGGGGAGGGGCTTGGCTGTCTGAGTCAGCTGGCCTAGCATGTACTTGAGGTAGCAGAACTGACACAGGGCTCGGATGGGCCTGTCTTCTTGAGTTTAGGGTTTAGTGGGGGTGGTCGGCCTGTCAGGCTCTCTAATCTGATCTTTGGGTGAGTCTGCAGTCTTGGGTTGCCAGAACAGGTTCAAACGGAAAGCCAGGCCAAAAGTAATTAGCGAATAAGATACTGACCAATTTTTGAGTTCTTACCCTGGGTTGGGCCCTGTTAGGAGTTGGATCCCATGAGTTACTCAGTACTAAAGAATGGAAAGTAGGTAGGTGTTGGAGCCCAGCAGCTGTGTCTTGGAGTTTATAAAACAAAACACTAATTGAGTACCTACTGTGTGGCCAGGTACTTTGTTAAAACCATATGCTAGGAACTGGAGAGGATTTTAAGGTTACCTGCGTCTTCTCCTAGAAGTGTAATGAGAGGCTGAAAGACTTGCCTCGTCACAAAGCTGGTTGATGATCTTAGAATGGAAGTTTCCTGACCCAGTGGGTAGCAACCAGGTAGGAAGCTGCTTGAAGCTTCAGGAGGCTGGGGTCACACAGGTCTGTAGGCCAGAGAGGGCCTCATCAGACGATGGGGAGGGCAGCTCTGGTCTCTGGGGTGGGCCTCGGGGGTCCCCTCCAGATGGTGCTGTGAACTCCAAGTGATTTTCAGGCTTCTACTCACTGCCCATAAGGAATAGTTTGGTGTTCACCTGAGGCTTGGGCCGGCTGGACTTTTGCCTGTGCTCAAGCCTGGGCTGTGGGGGCTGTCCTCTAACCAGTGTGGAGGTTCATTCTGTAGTGCTTTTTGGGGTAGGATGTTTATTCTCTACCAAGGTCAGACTTGAACCCCAGCCAAGCTGTTTTAGGGAGGAAGTGCTGTAGATGGGTGAGGATTCCAAAGTAGAAAACCCACTCTGAGTGCTAATCTGGCAGAGAGTTCTTTGACCTTCCCGCTTTCAAATATCGGCAATAATGATAATGATAACAAACAAAAGTATCTAACATTTATTTGACAGCCTCATCTGGGCCAAGGTACGAGGCTAGGACTCTATATAGTTCATCATTGAATCATCACAACAACCCTCTATGGTGTGGGTTATTATTATTCCCAGATGAGGAGACTGAGGTCATAGAAGTTAAATTGCCCAGAGCCACATAACTAGGAAGTGGCAGAGCTTGACTTTGAACCTAGACAGTCTGATTTCAAACTGTGGGGAAGTGGATCAATACATCTAGCTTCAAAGGCCTCTGCAGGCATCATCAGGTTGGGATCTGGTAGATTCCCAGGAAAGGACCTGAGCTTTGGGCTCCAAGTTGGGGCTAGTCCCTCCTTGCACAGGGCATTGCAGGAGTGTGGGTGGGGTGTGCTCATGATTTCTGGGACCAACAGGGACATCCTGGTAAAGGTCAATGGAAAGACCCGATTCTGCAGACCTGTGGGGATGTGGCTTCTCTTGGCTGGCTCAGTTATGGGGACAGAGACTTGGGTCTGATTGTAGCCTTGTGTTTCTTGCATCCCTCTTGCTGGCCAGGGACAGGCCCTAAAAGGATCAATGAAGCAGAAGAACTGTGATCTTGCCTCAGCCAAATTGTGCTCCCCTTCCCTGTCCCCTGCTGTCCCTTCCCAAGAGCACATCCCACCTGGCGTGCCCCAAGCAGTTTTTGCTGCACCTTTCTCTCTTCACTGGGTCAGCTTCCTCCCTTGGCCAAAGGCAGGTGTGTGTGAAGACAGGGAGGGCTTGCAGAAGCTCCAGTGCCGCCCAGTGGCGGAATCATGTGCTGCACCTGGGAGTCAAAAGCAGTGGCCCGCAGACCCACTTGGCTGCTGTGAAACTTCCCTAACAGCCCCCAAACCAGCAGCTGCTGCCACCTGTAAGAAGTTTTCTGTAGTTTCTGGAGGTGCAGGGTGAGGGTGGAGTCCACCAGTGGCCACTCTTGCAACATGGGGCCAGTGCTGTGCTGACTTCTGGGCACCCACTGGTCTGGGTACTCCTCTCCCTGTCCATATCTTTGAAAGGACTCCAAGTGAGAAGGGTCTGGGCAGGAGGCACCCTCACTGGGGTTTGGCCTTGCTATTTGTCTAAGGATTAGACAAAACAAATACCACTCCAAGTCACTCCAGAGTGTGTGCTGTGGCTTCGTGGCAGACGGTGGAGACTCCTAGAATCCGTTTCCTTGATTGTAAGGCAGGGTACTGACACTTTACAGGATTGTCTAGACCTGCATTTTCAACCTTGAATGAAATGGGTGTCATCTGAAGCATGACCAACAGCCGAAGCTTGGTCCTACCTCTTGAGACTCTGTTTTAATTGTTTTGGGCACACAGAGCCTGTCATCAGGATTTTAAAACCTCCCCAGGGATTCTAATGTGAAGGCAAGGTCAAGAACCCCTCATTTCATCAGCATCAAGAACCTATGGGCCTTCCAAGGGTCTCCGAAAATGTCTGAAACTTGAATAAAAAATTTACCAGTTCCTCCAAAGCAACCAGATATAGGATGAGCACAAACTGTTTGATCCCACATAAAGCAAACTGCATCAAACTTATCTGTTCGTGGCTCCTCTGGCAAAAGTGGTGAATGGAAGGGACCTGGAGACTCCTGATGTTCTGCTTCTTGGCCAGAATACTCATAAACCAACAAAAATCCATTGTGCTATACACTTAAGATCTGTGTATTTTTTTGTACGTGTGATAAATTTCAATAAAATTTACCAAAAAGTGTATTGGCTCCAAAATAGGAAAAGAAAGCACAAAATTGAAATTACCATTTTATTAAAGATCTACAAATATAATGCATTATGTCAAATGAGACAGCTGTGATTCAACTTGATGTGTGTACATACGTATATGTGTATGCACATCTCTGTGTATTTGATATTTACTCTGGGTTGTGGATGTATTCAAGAGTGTTTGATATGGTGAGGGTTGGGAGAGTGGGATCCAAAAGAGAAGGTCCATGGTGCCTAAGAATCTTAAAAACATCTGAGTTTATACCAGGAGTTCCTAACCTTGACGCCCCCCACCACCCTGCATTTGTGTGCATAATCTGCACTTTAACTTGGGGAAAGAATCCATAGCTCTCAGCAGATTCCCCAGAGGGTATATGACCAGCTCCTAAAAGGTTAAGAACAACTGGTTTTGCAAAGTCAGTGAGAAACTGGCTGCAAACGTGCCTGGCATCACATAGGTGCTTGGTAATGTCAGTTGCTTTCCTTGCTTTCAAGGCCCAGCCTTCAGGGGTTTCCACATGACCCTTCTCAGGTGACTTCTAGGAGGATTTATTCTCCTGGCAGTACCAAGGGCAGACTGTGCCAAGCTCACAGCTCTAATTCCAAGAGGCCATTCAGAAGGCCTGTCATTTGGTATCCGCAGGATGCAGAACTTAGTGCATAACATCCAGGGGCTGCGCTGGGGCTTTTGGTTTTGGATCAGAGAGGATGGAGGAGAAGGAAAAGTGTGAAGGGAATCAGAGGGCTGCACCAGCTGGGGGACCTCCACAGATTCCCTTTACTTCCCTGAATCTCAGCTTTGTCATTTGTAAAACAAGAGCATTATGAACATGCATCTTTGTAAATGATAATCTGCTGCTCCAATGTAAGATATTATTGTTATTGCAGAAGTGACACCAGGACCTCATTATACAATGGCCTAATGATACCGATTTTATAGCAGGTTTCTGATTCTTGCATAGAATAAACAGATAATTTATCTAAGCGTTCACTGATTTCCTAATATAAGCCAGGAACACTCATGTACATTATTATTCCATTTGGTTTCTCTAGCACTCTGGTGGGTGGTTATACTTGAAATCTGATTTTATAGAGGAGGAAACATGTTCCAGGTTGTTAGGTAGCTTGACAAGGGCCCACAGCTGGCAAGTGTCAGAGCAAAGACTTGAACCTAAGTCCCTGACTCCAAATCCAGCTCCGCTCTGCCACTCCATGTCACAGTCAGATACAAGGCGCCGTTCTACCTGGATTGACTCAAAGACAGATTCCAGACCCACAGTGAAACACGTGGGCAAACGCAGACACAGAAAAATTAGTTTTGCAGGGGTATGGATGTGCTCGTTATTTTGGAGTAATTCAAGTTATCGATTTCTGTAATGGAAAAGTGATTGGAGACCGGCTACCACCTGAGAGCAGTGCTGAGCGAGGCCCCAGGCAGGAGGAAATGTTGTGCGTAGCTTACAAGGCTTCCAATATGGTGAGGGTCCTTCTCCTTGCTGTCCCCAATTAATTGGTAATTAATTGAGGGCAACTGAGGGTGGGGATCTTCTCCTACTCATTTCTACATCCTCCTTCCCCTGCCCTACGTGCCTGTCACGGGGCCTGCCTCACCTTGGCAGGTGAATAGGGGATGCAGCCATCCCAGGCTGCCTGGAAGAGGGAGAATATGCAGTGGTGTAATCCGCAGGCCCCGGAGGCAACCTGCCTCAGCAACAGCGCAGGCTAATGCAGACATGCAGCAGTCACTGAGTGATGCAATTGAACTGCAAGTAGTCCTGGCGTAAGTCAAACAAAGGGTGCAGGTAGTGACCCCAGACCATCCCCTGCACTGGGAAGCAGCTCTCGGGAATACTGCTCTGGCTGCGTTCTTGTGGCTCTGCTCATGACCTCCGGGGAGGGGAAGGAGGTGCACAATCCCTACCCCCCTCAGCCTCTGCCCGTACATCCTGCACACCATGGTTTGAGGAGGGTAAAATCTTTTTTGAGGGTTACTTTTCCAGGAAGTCTGGACTGGGGGCCCTAGAGGGTGAAGTACCTTGAATGGGCGAGTGGACTGACAGATGGACGGACGGATGGATGGATGGATGGATGGATGGATGGATGGATGGATGGATGGATAAGTGGGTGCAGGGAGATGACTGACGGATCAGAGATGAGTGAGAGGGCTGCCTGGCTTGAGATGGATGCTTGAGGACCCTGGAGAGGCAGGTGAATGGATGGGTTCCGATCGGCCCTGTGCTCCCCTGTGCAGATCTAAATGCAGGGCTGGACTCTTCAAAGGGAAGATGCTGTGCTCACCCGGTCCTCAAATGAACTCTGCATTTGTAACTCTGAGTGATGGATGTGTCTTGTTGGGAAGGATTCTTATAGGTCTAATATCACCCCAGTTAATGACTTATAGATTGTTGTAAAATCAGGTGCGGCTAGAAGTGAAACCAGGAGGTTGAAGGGCCGGGAACAGATTTGATAATAATCCATGCATTTCATCAGTCCAGGCTTCTTACATGTTTTATGTTTTTTGCTCCGTCCATCAGTCCTGAGTGCCTTACATGTTTTATGTGGAGGGAGCTTTGCCATCATTCCTCCACATTGGTATTACTGCTTCCATCTTGCAGATGAAGAAACTGAGGCTTAAAGAGGAAATAACTAGCTTCCTGCAACTTTGGGGTGCAAGGTGGAGTGTCTGGGATTCAAAAACTGGAGTCTTTGATCCCCAAGTCTCAGGGTGAAGAGAAAATTTTAAGATGGAAGGAGGGGAGGAGGGAGAGCCGGGAGAGTTTTGCACCCGGTCTCTAAAGACAGTGCGGCTTCTCAGCACGTGAGGCTCTGCAGTGGGCTGAGGCAATGAGGGTGCTCTGGACACAGCCCCAAGGCCTCTTCTAGCTCCTCTGTGCATCTGCCTTCCAGGGCTGTAAATCTTGAGCCTGAGCCTGCAGCTGCAGAGAGGGTGTACATTTGATTTATCTTCCCCCATTTGGCCTAAATGTGTCCCTCTTCCACCGTCCCATGAGGAACTGGGGAGCTAAGGTGTGTGTTTCTCACTTGGAGGAGCTCCTCAGAGGGAGGAAATTAGCCCTTTGATTGGGAGGTTGCATTACATGATTCTGAGGGTGGAATCCTACATGGCCGCTCCAGGCCTGGCTGTGCAGAGGAGCTACCTTTATGGGAATTGCTCTGGCCCCCGTCTGCTTTCCTCCTGGCAGCCTGGCTGGGGATATGGGGTTCCAGGTGGGATTCATTGGGAAGGGGTGACACAGTCTCCTTCAGTCCCACCCTCATCCCCATCTATTGCCCCTGACTCTCCTTGTCAGCTGTCTGTCATTCAGAGCTTTGGTCCCAGCTGTGCCAGGGCCCAAGCATGGCCCTTCTGGTCACTTGGTAGACAGGGATCTGGGCTCAGTTTCCATGTCAACAAGACAGGAAGAACCAGCACTGTGCCTCTTATTCCTGAAATTGTGTATGCACTTGAGCTTCTGAAATACTTGGGGCTTTTTGGAGAAGGCGACTGTGAATGGCCTGTGGCTGAGCTCTTGGGAGAGCAGAAGGCAGCGTGAGCCAGGAGGAGGCCTGGAGAAGGAGGCAGAGTCTGTGGTCTTAGGGAAAGTCACAGGGTCTTTTTGCATCTCAATTTTCCCACATGAAAGGATGGGGCTCTATTAGATGACTTCCCAGGTGCCTCTATACTTAATGCTTAAGTTCTAGGGTGAGGGCTGAATCCCAAGCCAGTTCATTAGTTTCTGGTGACCTTTGCTCTGTGTGGTTGGTCAATTCCATGCCCACCTGCTCCATTGACCTTATTTTATGACTATTCTCTGGAGATGACATACATGACCACTAAGCTGAACAAGGCACAGCCTAGGCCCAGGAAGGTTGGCTCTGCCCCTTTATGACGGTTTGCAGTCCTGTGTTCTTGTTCCTGCTAACCTGTCAACATCCTGGGAGTGGCCAGGCTCCTTCACATCTTTTCACTACCCCGGGGTGCCCAGCAGCATATGCTGTAAAGCACAGGGGCTATGGCACTGCATAGGTCATGGAGCTCGATCCGGAACTTTGCTACTTAATTATGTCAAGTTCATATAGTAACTATGAGGTATCCAAGTTAAGGTTAACAGTCAAATGTAATAAATAACTCTGTGAGGCTTTGTCCCTTCTTTACAGATGAGCAACTGAGGTTCAAGGACCCCTCACCTTCAGTAAGTCTTTACCCAAAGGCCACTTTCCCAGGTAGGCCCTCCCTGGCCCACCCTATTTAAAATGACAGTGTGCCCCCCATCATGCCACTCCCAAATCACCTTGTTGCTGTTTCTCTCCCCTGCTGCCCACAGCCCTTAGAGTCTTCTAACATGCCATCCAATTTACTCCTTATGTTTATTACTTAGTCCCTGGTATACGCTACCAGTGCAGGAATCTTTGTTAGCATTGCTCACAGGTGTACATCCCAAGCCACTAGAACAACACCCAGCACATAGTAAGTGCCCAATCAATGCATGTTGCGTGAACATCTGGTTAAGTAACTTCCCCAGGTGTCAATTATCAGGAGATTGTGCAGTAGGAGGCTTAAGAGCCAGGCGGTAGAGCTAGACAGTTTGGGATTTGAATTATAGTATTTGTCACTCTAGCTAGCTGTGACCTTGGGTAACTTATTCTTCCTGAGCCTCAGTTTCTTTGGTAATAAAGTAGATGAATAACATTTGTCTTGCAGGATGGGTGGAGGATTAATGGAGACACATATGTAAAGTTCTTGGCATATGGTGGGCATTCCGTAAATGTTAGCTCCTTTCCCTGAGGATATTTTTTTCTCTTCCTGCTTCTCGTTTTCCCTCTGATGGCCTAACCCTTTGACCACTTCACTGTTCAACAGCAGCTCCTTAAGAGGATGGAGCTGCTGAAGGCGGGGTTGGCATTATCTGTGGTGTGAACCAGCCCAAGCTCTCTTGCCCTCCTTCTTTGTCCTTCCAGGATGTGCCTGTTGCCAAGGAGACGCAACATCAGCCCTTGGCAGGTTCCTGGCCCCTGGCTGGGGTTCTGGCCACACACGGAAGGAGCTAGACGTTGAGGATGGGTGATCATGTGGGGCGGGGGGAGAGAGCAGGGACTCAGCCTGCTTCCTGGGCTGGGAGTCTGGGTGGGGGGCATCCGTTTGGAATCTGCTGGAAAAGCTCAGCTGGCTCCCTAAGAAAGTGAAGTGGGCTGAGGTCCACGACACCAGTCCGGGTGTGATTCCCAGACCCTGGGAGGGGGCCATAGCAGCCAGAGTGACTCATAATCAGACTCCTGGCCCTCAGAATGGCACCTTCCCAGAGCAGGGCTGGCCACTGTGTAGACAGATCCTGGAAGAGGCCTGGCGGATGATTTCACCATTTTGCACCAGAGAAGGCCAGCCAAACTCCCCTCTGCGAGGGTCCTCACGGCCATCTCTTTTGGAGGAGACTGAGGGAGGACTGCCTCAGGTACCTGACCCTCTGGGGACTCCATTTCCTCCCTTCCCATCCCAGCCAGTGACCTTGCAGCTTGAGAGATTGTGGCATTTCTGTAAAGCAGTTACCCACCTGGAGGAAGGGGGCTGGAGTGGTAGTTAAGAGCACAGGCAGAGAAGCCAGACTGCCTGAGACCCAGTCCCGCCTTTGTGTATTCCAGCCGCGTGACCCCGACAAACCACTTAGCTTATCTGTGAAACTGGGTAATTATAGCACTTTCCTTTTGGGACCATGGTGAGGCTTAAGCTTGTTGATTCTTGCAGAGTTTAGATCTGACCCAGACCTGCCACTCACTCGCTGCAGACTACTCCTGTCTTCTTCAGGGGTACATTCCTGAGCAGAGGCTGAATTCTTGGACAGATGAAAATGGTCTTATTATTATTTGGCCTTTCTTGACAAATGGAGTCTGGCAATCCGGCCCACCTTCTGCTCGGCAGGAGTGGGTTTCCACTTCTCCATCTGTATCATCCCTGCTGGGCCCATTTCATTACTCGCCTGCCCCTGAGGGTCTTTGTTGTTTTTGTTACATCTTCACATCCAGCATAAGCCAACAAGGGTGTCAGGAACCCGAGTGGGGCTATGAGATAGAGAAAAGACAGACCTGTCTGTGCTCAGAAGGGGGCAGCAAGGGTTCATTCGCTGCTGCCACCGCAGGTCTCAGAGGAAGATGAATTAGAATAAGAGGGGGATGGGTATGCTGGGCCTGGCTAGCCTGCGTGTGGCTTTGCACTCACATGTCTGTGGCTAGAAAATACAGGTAAGCGAATACCCTGAACTTGAGCCACCTGGCTCAGAAATCCTGGACCCCCGTCCACTGCGCAGTTCCCGTTTTGGGGGCCCAAATGTTGAACTATTTTCTGTATCTTTTCGTCTCATATTTTTCCTAACACAAGCATCTTGGGGACAGGAGGCTTGACTTCCTCAACGGAGGGAACTTGTCACATTCCTTATGGAGGGACCAAGCACTGGCCACACAGGAGGTTCTCAGGAAATGCTTGCTAAGTAAATATATGGATGGATGAATGGATGGATGGAACCAAGAATTTAGCTAAACTTTTCAGAAAGCCCTTTGTTATCCCCCTCTGGTCCCTGCACTTGGTAGTGTGGGGGCAGAAATCAGGTTACCTTTGCTCACCGTTATATGTCTAGAGCCCAGGTCAGTCCTGGGCCCTTGGCAAGTGTCCAATCTATATCTGCTAAATGAACGAACGAATGAATGAAATGGAATGAAAAGCCTTTTTGCCCCGGAGCGTGGTCACTGTAGTTGTGCTCCTAACAGTTGGGAGCCTTGAATTCCTCTTTGTAACTCCTCTCTGACTCCACCCACTGAACAGAGTGAAATGACCCAGATAGACCCCTTCACACAGGAGTTCAACGCCTTCTCTGAAGCTGTCATCCTGAAGCTTCTGGTGTCCTTGGCAGACCATCTCCCCCATTGTCTTGTCCCTTCCTTCTTGTGAGGCCAGTCCATGGGCCCGGTTATCTTGTCATTTACAACTGCATTTGGAGTCATCCCTCTGTGGGTTTTGGGTTTTGCTTATCTCACTATCTGAGATCCACTTGTTTAGTTCTAAAAAGGCAACAGCTTCCGGAATGACTGGGGATAGTCTCAGCAGTGACAGCTGCCCCTTACTCTTCTGATAAGACACCATGGTGGGAAAGGGCTCCAGCCCTGGCTTGGGACCTGTTGGCTCTGTGACCTTGGGCAGAGTGACCTTGATCACTTCATCTCTCTGAGCCTCATCTCTGAGGCCCTTTCAGATCTTTAATTTTATGTCATTACACAGGAATGAGTTTTCCAGAAGTAGAGCGATTTTTAAGTTGGTCTATGCTTCTCAAGGAAATTGTAGCTGTTTTCATTTTAAAACTTTTCATTTAAGCTCCTGTTCTGAGTGTAAAAACAGCACTAGCTACAAGGAACTCATATTTTGTGATTTATTGGGAGTATTATTATGATATCAGAAAAAGGTAGTTTTTTTGTTAAATATGTTTTTAAAAGGCTTGCTGCATTCTTAAGTGTGATTTTATTATATCTTGGAGCAACTTTTTTTCCCCCATGAAGAACAGATCTGTGATTTATAATGCGCCTTCACTACCCGCGGCTGGCTGTGAACATATTCTGTAGTGTTACATCATCCCTAAAGGCTGCTCTGGCTATAGGAGCTTCCAGATTTCTAAGCACATTGCAAAGATTGAATTGCGAGGTTCTTTCTAGAAATGAGGATAACCTGAGACTAGCCAGACCCACATCCAGGCACATATGGAAGAATCTTAAAAAGGAAAGGGCCTTTGAGGATATACCAGCCCAATTCTATTGTCATTTAGATTAGGGAAATGGAGACCCAGAGTGGAGGAGTGACCTCCCCCAGGTAAATGGTTCCCTTACTGTTCCCTTACTGTCTGCCAATTGCTCATCTCTTATCTCTCAGTTTGATCCAAACCCTGTTCCCCCGCCCCCCAAAATGAACATTTTTGTATATACCCAAACCACTGCTCATGCCTGGGGTGGTGCTTTCCCTGTATTATGACCTGTTTTCTAAGCACCTTCTGGTGGAAGGGCTGCTGCTACAACCAGCATCTGGCCCAGACACATTTTGCCCCCACTAGCTAGGTGGTGATATGTAGCAGAGACTTTATTGGCATAGTTTCCCCAGAAAAGAGGCTAGAATACTTAAGAAGTTCAAATTTTAACATTTTTATCCAGAGTCCCAAAGGCTCACCCTTTTTCCCTCCCCTAATCACTTTGGACTCTAATAAGGCTTTTCTGCCACAGGAAGTCAGGGTGCACAAAGCAGAAACAGCAGAAGCTGGACCAGCAGGTACATGATACATTACCGAATCAACTGAGCAAGCAACCACGTGGGAGCCATCTTTGTTAGGGGCAAAATAAGAAGTTCACGAGAACACAGGAAAGACAGGACTATCTTGATTCTTCTGAAGGAGTGAGGGAGGCTGGATGGGGTACAGGGGAGACTTTCTTTTTCTGTTTTCTCAGAAAACATGCAAAGAAAGACTTCACAAACAACTACGGTTGCAACAGTATCTCCCAAACTTCCCTTTTCAAAGATGGCCACCCTGCTGTCCACTTAGAGGGAGCACATGGCAGAATCTATTGGGTATGGAAAGAGACAGGCAGCAGGAGAGAGATTTAGTTTTCCACAAAGGTTGTTAGTTTTGTTTTGTTTTGTTTTTTTTCTTTATTGATGGAGTTTAAAGTGCATATAACTGAAGGCAAAGTCCAAGGCCTAGAGAAAGATATGAGGCCTGAGATAGAGGCTCAGAGATTCTAAAGGCAGCCGAAGAAGAATACCCACCTAAAAAGGCCACTTGAGCTGCAAAAAGGACAGGGAAGGGAAGTAGAGAATGGGGAAGAGAGAAAGGAGAGAGGGATAGGATTGGGGTGGAGGAAAGAGTTTGGGAGGAAGAAGACAAACATGGGTTCAGAAATTTAGAAAAAGATGACTCATAGGAGTTAGTTTATATCCCAGCTATGAAAATATGGGCTGACCTCTAGGTAGGAATGCTTGTTTTAGGAGATGTGAGAAGAATGATAGCCTAAGGCCAGGACAGCACCCCTGGGGCCCTGTAGGTGGGGGTTAGTAGTAATGGGGCCTCTCCAAGCTCCTGCCATGATTTTCCCTGGAGACTCAATGGTAGACTAAGGAGACTGTCTATATTCAGGAGAAGGCAGGGCTGAGGACCTTGATCTGCGGCCCACCCAGAGCTTCCCAGTGAAAGACAACTTTGATTTACTACTAGACTGTGGCTGGGGGCCCACTCACCCACACAGGCTGTGCCATCTTCATTAGGCTCAAAGCCCCGACTGCATCTCTTGTTGGTTCGGCATCTGTAGCTTCCGTAGGTGTTGACACACACTGGCTTGTCTCGAGGGCACACAAATGGGAACTGGATGCATTCATTGGTATCTGCAAGGTGAGGGTAGCCACTCACCAGGGAGGTGTGGGGCAGTGGGTCCTAGCTCAGGCTGTGTGCCCACCCACTCACTCTGTGACCTTGGGCATGTCCCTTCTTGATGGGCCTCCATTTCCTTTCTTCAGTTCCCTTGGCTGGCTCCTCTCTACTTGACTTCTACATGGTAGGGTGGCACTCAGGCTTGGTCCTGGGTCTTCTTTTCTATCCACCACAGTTTCTCTAGGTGATCTCCTTGCATATGGATGACTGCAAACTTTCTGTCTCTAGCCATAACCTCTCCTTTGAGCTCCAGACTCATGAATCCACTCACCAATGACCTACTTGACAGTTCCACCTGGATATCTAAACACACCTCAAGCTTAATATGTCCAAAATGGAACTTTAGATTTCCCTCAGCCCTTAAACCTCTCCTTCCCCCGTTCCCATCTTCCTTAGTTCAATCAATGCTACCAACATCTACTCAACTGCTCCAGATTGCGATCCCCCAATCCTCCCTTTTCTTCACCCCCATACACAATCCCACAGCAGGTCCTTTCCGTTCTGCCCCCACAGTGCACCTCTTGCCTGTCCACCTTCCTCACTCCTCTGCCACCACCCTATTCCCAGGCCCCATGATCTCTTGCCTGGAGTTCTGCAGTTGGCGCCTTACTGGCCTCCTGGCTTCCACTCTTCCCTCCAATCCAATCTGCAACTCAGCAGCCAGAGTGATCTTTTAAAAATGTGAATCACATCAGGTCACTCTCCTGCTTAACTTCCAAGGGCCCTAAGAACAAAATCCAGCCTTCTTCCCAGAGCCTGAAGCCCCTCCTTGACCTGGTGCTGCCTCCTCCATGTCATCTCAGGCACATGGGCCTCCTGCCTGCCCCTCGGGCACAGCAAGCCTTTTCCTACCTTGGGCTCTTCACCCCTGCCCTCTCCTCTGCCAGGAGAGCTTCCCACTCGGCTCATCCTGAGGCTGTATTCTTCTCATCCTTGGGGGCTCAGCATAAAAGAATCCTATCCAGTATCCCTCCCTGCCTACTCTGTTCAGAACAGTTTCCAGAGAGCATCTTGTTTACAGGTTCTTAAACCATCTTGCCTAACTGTGTGATCCCATGGTTGGGGTCAGTCTCCCTCCACCAGAAGGAGCACCTCTCAGAGCAGGCACTTGGGCTGCACCCTGAGGGCCCAACATGGTGCTTGGTACCATGCAGGAGGCATATCAATGCCTGTTGGATGATGAAAAGATGGAGGGGGCTGGTTTGGTGATCTGGAAGGGTCCTTCCAGCATGCAGAGAAGACCGTTTTCCATACACCTGCACTGTCTGCTTAGCATGAGGCCAGGGTGGGGACATGGGGAGGGTGGGGGAGTCACATCCTCCTCAACCACCCTGAGCCTCCCTGCTCTTATGCTTCTGCATTTTGAGGTGCTTTGCCCAGACAGAGCTCTTCTCTGGAACATTGCCTCTCTGTGTCATTCCAACTCCTTATCATCCCTCAGGTCCTAGCTCAGTCCTTGCTTTCTCAAGGTGGCCTTCTAGGACCCTCTCCAGATGGTTGAGGGCCACCCTTGGTACTCTCAAGCCCCTGCCCCTGCCCCATTCCAGTCCTGATCCCATGTGTGGCCATTGATTGTTCACTGTGGGTCTGTCTCTTGGTTATGGAGAGGATGGGGCTATCTGTCTAATTGACTTGTGTACCTCTGCAGCAAATGCATTAGCCTGAAGCTAATGTGCGGCTTTAGAGTCGACTTGGGTCTAAGGAAGGAGGAATCCTTGGCTTGACCCCTTGTTACTGGTCACTAGGATGGAAGACGCCAGGTTGAAGTTCTTGTGGACACTGAGCCTCTAGGCTGCTCCCTTCCTATTCTCGGCTCTTGGGAGATTTTCAGAAGGTCACTGGATTTTTATGGCACTACCGTCTAGTACTACCTGTCCCCTAGTACCGCACCAGTATGTAATCTCCCATCTGCTCTGTGACTTCACACCCTGCTTTGCCTGGATGCTCCCAACAATGGCCAATCTTGCCTGTCAGACCCTACCGGCTGCTTTCCTGGCTGCCATGGCATGTGGCTCTTCTACCTGCACCAGGACAGAGCTCGCCCACCAGAGTCTCCACTGTCTTTATGCTGGCTCCCAGGATCCTCTATATTCATGGCATGAGACACTGCCAGTTCCCGGAACTGCAGTGAGTCAGCCTTTCGGTCACTCCCACCTTGGTGAGTCATATGGCGGTTGTCTTGGCATCTGGAGTCCCAGGGAACAACACCTTCCTCTCCCTGCCTTTCCACCCTCGGTCTACACCCTGGATATCGCCACTGGTCAGGCCAACATTTCCCAGGGAGTGCCCATCCCCTGGGGCCCGCAGACAACTCACCCATGCAATGGCCATTTTCCTGCTGGGAGAATCCCTGGCCGCACTGTAAGGTGGGCAGAAGCAGAGACAAGAGTGAGTTGAGACTGTCCCATCTCAGGCCTCCTCCTAGTCCCAGCCACCGAGAAGCTGTTACTGTGACTCCAGCATGAGGGGTGTTCTCAGTCCTAAGGCCTGGGTGGAGGCCCCTCCCTTCTAGGACCCTTTGCCTTGCTCTGAGAATAGGAGATGGCATAGTGTGCGGGGGGCAAGAATGAACATAATTCAAACTCCTGCTCATTTCCCTTCACATGGGTTCTGCATACCTGATCTGGACCAGAGATTGGTCCACAGGTGTTCCTTAAAGAGGCTCTGTACAGGGTCTGAGCCCCACCCTTAGGGCAAAAGGAGGTCTCATAAGATACTTGGAAAGAACCAGGAGGGCCGCAGGGCACCTACAGGTCAATTTTTAACCCTGCTCACAACTGGTTGTAGGGCCTCAGTGGGCCTTGGGTTCCCTTTCTTGGTCTCAGTTTTCTCCTCTGTAAAATGGATACAAAACATTTGCTCTGACAATTCTCTAGGATTTCTGAGAAGCAGAAGAGAATGTGATAGTGTTGTGCAGACTACAAATGGAGGGATCACTCTGAAGCCCGCCATTATCCTAGAGGCCAATGCTACAGCCCATGAGATTGTGGGTGGCGTCTGCTTTTCTAGATATGAGGTTCAGATGCCTTGGCCCACCTCAAGTGGGGCTGGGTCCTGAAGCTTGTCCTCATCCCGGGGGTAAAGGATCTCCAGCACTGAGTTCATCTTCTCACTGGCCACGCTCTGGCTCACCATCTTGCCATCTGGCCACGTCACTTCCACACTGCTGGCTTCATCCCTCCCTGTGGGAGGAAGGACAGCGGTCAGCAGCAGAGGGGAGAGGGGCTCTCAGCCAAAGCACTGGCAGTAATGGATTCCGTCATGTAATAAAGGCATTAACGGAGTCCTCTTCTACGGGCCAGGGAAATGAACGAGACAGATTTGAGGTGCCTCCTCTTTAGACCAACACTGTACAACAGAACTTCCTGCCCTGATGGAAATCTTCTGTGGCCATCTGTGGCTGTTGAGCTCTCAAAGTGGGACTAGTGGGACTGAGGAAGTGAATTTTAGATTTTATTTAATTTTAAACAAATTTACATCTAAATAAAATACATGATTAAATAAAATACATGATTGATTTAAAAATACATTTAAATAAATACATTCACACATGGCTGATGGTTGCCATACTGGATAGCACAGCTGTAGAATTTACATTCTAACCACAAGTCAAGTAGCATGAAGCTGGATTTGGGGAGGTGGAAGGCCTGGTGGTCAGCGACTTGACTCTGGCATCTGGACTCCAAATCCTGGCTCTCCTACTTACCCTGGTGTGTTGGACAGAACATGGTGGGGAACAGGATCCTGGTACCCCTGGGGACAAACCCCAGCTCTGCAGCCAAGTCACTGTGGACTCCTGGGCATCCCTCCTCCATATCTATTTATGGAGCTCTGGTAGAGGGCAGACCCTCTTTTGTCACTGAATGTCCCTGCTGTCAGGGGGCTTCCACTCTTCATTTGGGACAGAGGCCAAACACATGAACAAACAATCATGCCAGATATCAACAAGCTCGGTGAAGAAGGCTGAGCAACAGGGTAAAGAGGACCTGGAGGCTGGTTGGGGCTCTTCGGGGATAGCCTCTTGGGGAGGAAGTATTTGAGCTGAGCTCTAAATAAAGACCTGGAAAAGATGGGGTGGAGGGCACTGGAGAAAGACCATTCTACAGGGCTGAGATGTTTACAGGAGGTGGCGGTGAAGCTCAGACAACATTCACGGTGAATCCATCTGCACACATCCCTAAAGCAATGTGCTACATCATTGGCAGAAAGCAGGTGGGAAAGATTTGTCAGGTGTTTAGGCTTGTCAAAGACTGCCCTGGCTCCCTGCATAAGGAACCAGGCTGGTCCCTGTGGCAAGGTCAGGCTAATGGTGATGGATTGGGGAGGGCAGGGGGGCTGGGCCTCACCTCCAGGGAGGGGATGAGCTCCTGGACCACCACCTGCACAGGAGATGGTGCTCAGCACACATAGGAGCGCTGAACACCCACCAGGGGCTGACCAGATGTGGACACATGCTCTGGGGAGCACTGGGGACCCTCAAATCTATGTAGTCCCTTAAGCATCATTCCTGGGCTGAATAAATGGCACATCATCCATAGGAGTGCACGCCTATTTTTCTCCTAATGCATGTAGATACTGTCAGGAAATAAATGACACTGGAAAGTGCTGTTGGATTCATACTGGCTTTTGGTCCTTACCATCCACCAATGGATGTGACAATGACAGTTACTATGGGGGTGGAGGGTTGTCTGTGAGGTATTTAGATGCATAAAAGAGATTCTCGTATTTTAGCAAAGGGGCCTAGAAACCTCATGCAGACTGAGAAGGATCTAATGAAGGGTGCAGAGGTCTGCTGAGGGGCGGGGGCCAGGTCAGTATCATGGAGGGGAGCACCCAGCTACCTCTTTCTGTCCAGTGGGGGACATACCAGCCACATCATCCGGATCCCCGGTCCTCCCTCGTGGGTGTCCCTCCCACCCTGCTTCCTCCAACCTTCAGAGAAGTCTCCCTATGTTGCTATGTCTGCAGGGAGTGAGGCGGAACCAGGTGCCGCAACCTGGAGAGTCCCAAGTCCTGGAGGGGAGGGCAGCCCTGTCCTTATGGGCACCGCAGGCAGCGTCATGGGGACAGTCCTGTACTCAGTTATTTTTCTTGCCACAGAGCCCAGCTCCTCCTGAGCCCAACCACCCTGGTTCTGGGTTTGAATTATCTGGCCAGAAAGTGCTCTGCCTCCCCCGCCTATAACTTCTCCTGGGGAGGGGTGGGAAAGGGGCTGAGGAGTGCCAACTACAGGTTTTAATTTTTCTGTTTTTGAAGCAGACTCTTGAGGTGCAAGAGATTTGGCATTTTTAGGGTGCACAGTGCCCAAATTAACTGGCACATGTAAAAACTATACATTTCCCATTAAAAAAAAAAAAAAGGAGACAAAGGAGAGCAAATGTTTCTCACCTAAGCCAACAGAACAGCGACAGGAATACATTTTCCAGCCTGCCTGAAGTGCCACAAATAACTCAAAAGAGCCGCCGAATATTCATAGACCATCACAAATTTACAGCCTGCACTTGCGGTGCCTGGCGCAGTCCAGCCCTCCCGCTCCAGACCCAGGAGGGGCTGGGGCTGTGGCAAGCCGGCCTGC